ACGAGATGTTGATGAAGTGTCAGAAGGACTTTGTAGAGAAATAAATGAACAGTGCCTGAATATTTTGATGTTTGTGTTTTAGGAGTCAGCCAAGGCAGAAAAGTACTTTGACAATGAAAATCTGGTCTGGTCAGTTTTGGATCTCTTTGCAGCTGGGACGGAAACAACATCTACAACACTACGCTGGGGCGTGTTATTGATGATGAAGTATTCAGAAATACAAAGTAATGTTGTGGGTTCGCAAAGTGATGTAATTTTGGGGAAATGCCTACTTGACCATCTCTGCTCCACCTCTAATTAATGACAGACATACCAAAATGCCTCATTATTATTATATCACTCAGCTGTAGATCCTCCAAGCTTCTCAGAATTGGTGCTGACACTGTCCTTACTTCTAAAGAGTGGCTACTTTGTTCCCCATGGTCCCTGTGTGTGTTGTAAAGTAGCCACCGCTCCAAGCTTGCTCACGTGATGGACTATAATGTCATGTTTAGTTTACTAATTTGTATTGAGATTGTAGTCTATCACAGGAGTATGAAGTAAAACCTCCTCAACGCATTCATGGACAGCAATAAACATTTGTTTTAAACTTTTGCCAAACCTGTTCTTTTGCCAAAACTATTTTAAAAAAACATTTGACTAGTGTTGGGCTTTAAAGGATGACTAAACTCAACAGGGAAAATGTATAATATAAATATATTGAAGGTTCCCAGTCCTAAGATGTGTTGGCTGCATTAGTTTTAATTTTTCAGAAAAATGTTAGCAAGTACAAAAATAATGTTATCTTACTTGTATGTAAACTACTAATTCTATGAATTCCCTTGTACTGGAGATGAACAAAGGCAAGCATGTTTGAAGTCTAGGCTGGGAGAAAACTATGGCTACCTCCATAGACAGAGTGGAGGAGTGATGAAACCACCCACTGGGACTGGGAATGTGTTATTCATGAGATTACATTCATATACGTACATACATATAAGGCTACTGCCCTATTGTATGTACGTATCTGTACATACTTCCCTTCCCTTCCCTCCTGTGTGCACATGCCCGACGTGCACAGAAGCTGCTGCTCCCTCTAACTAACAGGGGAGAACATTGGCTTCAGGCACAAAGCCGATTGGATGACAATCACAAGCTGAGGTGGTTCTTGACTTACACTTTATATCATACTTAAAAAGCAAGAGCTACCCTGCTGATCCTGAAACATGATAATCAGACTAAAAATAAATATGATTTTATTCACATATTGTGGAGATGTAATTTTTTTACTCTTACTTTTTAGAAAAGGTACAAGAGGAAATCCGGACACATATTAAACAAGGACAGATGCCTGCAGTGGATGATCGCAGGAATATGCCTTATACTGAAGCAGTGATACATGAAATTCAGAGGTTTGCTAATATCGTTCCTCTGAATGTGTCACACACGACTCCAAGTGATGTGTATTTTCGGGGTTACTGCATCCCAAAGGTGAGTTCCATAAATTCCTCCTCATTTATCAGTAGAAATATAAACCAAATGAAGTAATGTTTCTGTTGCTTTATACTGTAACTAAGGAACCAATTCTAGGAATGTACAGTAAGCATCAACATTGTCACTGCACAGGTAAAGGCCATTTCCAGCCAAAACCTCCACCTTTGTTTTATATGGTTGATAGCAGTTAAATAACATGCTTACTATAATACCCCCACCAGAAAATATCCCCACCAAAAATCCCAGTTTTGCTCAACTACCATAACCATTATAAAGTGAAAATACCATAATATACTGTCATGATAGATTTTTCAGAATAAATAAATAAATATACGATTGAAAGACACCTTTTATTATTGCTTTGTGGATGGGGCAGAAAAATAAACCACTCCAGGGAAATTTTATTTCTCAAGTTTCTAAGTAGAATGTGAAGCCAAAGAGTTAATTTAACCTTAACTTGCTAACCTTAAACCTTAACTGTTTAATTTAAGTTAAACAGTACCCTCTTGAAGAGACAAGTTATCTAAAAACGAGATCCTTCTAAGCTTACCATGTGCTTATGTGGTTTGTAACCACATTACAGAATTTACCAAAACTGTGTAATGAGATGGCTTATCTAAACAAAATACATTCACTGTGTATCTAAACAGACAGGTGCCTCGTATACATTGATACTGGTAGATCTAAAGTAGATCCATACCACCCAAACCATTGAGATGTTAAAAAGGCCTTCCAGCACAATGTAATTAAGCAACAGACATACCCCCTGTAACCCCCATGTAACCCGGGACAGAGGGATTTGATTCCAAATGAGAGACAGTGCCTCCAAGTTAGATACAGTTGGCAGTGCATCTATGGAGCACAAACAGCTCCCAAACCCAAATCAATATTTACTCAGAGAGCAGAGTAGAAAATCTGGTCATGTAATGACACATCTTGTGTATGTGGTCACTACACATGATTACTAAGAGTTTGGCACTAAAATGATTGCTCTCATTGCGACGTTCGCTGCGATATGTAACGTGTGTAGCGCAATTGTCGTTTTTGCGCGCCGGTGCACGGACGCACCATGCGGACGCGTATTTACGTTTATATGTGCGTAAACATGGGGGAGTTAAACATTTTGTTTTTGTTTTTTACTTTTTTATATGTGACTTTTATTTTACTTTTTTATATGTGACTTTTATTTTATTTTTTTATTTATATATATTTTTTTTTGCACTTATTGTTATTGCTATTATATAGGGGGATAACAATCCCCCTATATAATAGCAAAGGCACACTGACAGGTCCTCTTTATGAAGACATTAGGGGAGCTGATAGGCACTGATAGCTTTCTTCCAGGTTCAGACAAAATCCACAAATTTTGACAGAATCCTAGTTGGAATGTTACATTTTTGTGTTCTTAGGCCCCATGCACATAGGTATTTGTTATATGGTAGTTATATAGCAAATAATAAATTCAATAAAGTCAATAGTAAGTGATGCAGGCTATGGGTATTAAAGATGATCTCTGGGCCTCTCCCACATTCCCCTCTAATTAATCACTGCTGGCATTACAACAAAAAAATAGTAATGTCCTTTTTACTAACTTAAACCCATGACCACGTGATGCTCCAGTCCCGAGTCTTCCCTATTCTTCTGTTTACAGAAGGTGAGGTCCTTTGGGCATTCACGTCACTGCCTGCATAATGTGGACATTCCTATTGGCTATTCAGCAATGTGGTCCCCTCAGGATCCAAAAGAGGAGTCTGTAGTGGTCACTGTTGGGAGAACAGCTGGCACGGGCACATCTGCAGTGCTGGATTAGCATCCCCCCATCGCACCGAGCAAGGGTGCTGCTGAGGGACATGGATGGCGAACCTAGGTGAGCAAATCTTGTTTCAAAGGGTTAGAAAACAAAATTTGCAGGAGTTAAGGTGAGGTAGGAGGGGGTTCTTGTATTGCCTGGAGATGGGCTTTAATATAAAAAAATTTAAAATGTTGTTCTCCTTGTAGGGTACAGAGGTCCTTCCTTTTCTTACATCTGTTTTGTATGACAAGACTCAGTGGGAAACACCTTATGAGTTTAACCCAAACCACTTTTTGGATGAGGCCGGAAAATTTGTGAAACGAGATGCATTTATGCCCTTTTCTGCAGGTAGGTCACCAGGATTCTTACACAATATTTAACACTATAATACATTATTTATGTCTCTGAGTTCTAACTGGGAGACCTCCACTAAAATTTAAACCTGTCTGTATGAGGGCATTCATATCTTTCAGGCTTTTTGTTTAGTCAGTTATAGTAGGTGTGGGGTGGATGCATACTTAGTAGAGATGTCCCGATACCACTTTTTCAGGACCAAGTACAAGTACTTCCCCGCATGTACTTGCCGATACCAATTACCAATACTTTTTTTTTTTTTTTTAAGGGACAGGTGACTTTAAATGATCCATAGTACAACTATATGTTATGTACTACGGATCATGATTTAACCTATTCATGTTAGCAGGCAGAATTGTAAATCTATTGCTGGAGTGTAGTGGAAGTGTGTACTACGTATACATTACACACGTCCAGTACACTATAGCAATAGATTTACAGCCAGCCCCGTCCCAGCTTCCCTCACTCACAGTTTCACTCCGATCCCTGTAGCCTCACGCGATGCCTCTTGTAGTCAGCGCTGGGCAGGATCGCTGCATCGCGTCTCGGTGCTCAGCTTGTGGGAGGCGCTCACAGTTCTGCCCTGCTAAGATGAACAGGTTAAATCATGATTCATAGTACATATACACCACACTTGTCCCATACACTGCAGCAATAGCATTACAATTATCTCCTAACATGAATAGGTTAAATCATGATCCATAGTACATAATAGTACATAACATGTAGTTGTACTACGGATCATTTAACCCATTCAGATTAGCAGTGCAGAATTGTAAATCTATTGCTGCAGTGCATTCTATATGTTCTGTATATGTACAGAACATATAGAATGGACTGCAGCAGTAGATCACACAAAAAATAAGCCCAGGCCCTGTCTTACTGTTGCCTTGATCGCGGTGCCTCACGATTTTTCTCACACGTGAGGACGTTGGCGGCTCTTAACTGGAGAGGAGCGTTGCGTCACTGCTGCTCCGGTGGGCGGCGCTCCAGGTGGGGTCCTAATTTAGGTGGCCGGTGACTGCCTGGAGCGCCACCCACCAGAGCAGCAGTG